CCGATATAACCCGCTGTTTACACAACGGAGGACACACATGGGCAGAGCCGGGAATGAAAAGCAGGGCGGAAGCATTTATTTGGGTGACAGGTGCCACGGGACCCTGTAGCCTACACACTCCTCAGCATCGCTGGTGCCCAGGATCGTCTGGTCGGAGTCTCGGGTGTGGACCCCCTTTTCTCTCTGAGAGTGACCTCCCAACATTTTTCTCTCTGACCTCTCCTCTCTGCTCCCTCTCCTTCACAGTTCTGTAAACTGGCTCGGCAAAGATCTCAGTCACTTAATGAAATAATTTTCTTCCACCCCAGTTGTGTGTTTGCTCATCCCCAGGCGGTGGCATAGAGGTATTGACTCAGCCTTGAGCAATGGCTGAATCTCAACATGTCCTCTCCAAGTACCCAAGCTGCTCTGGGCTTGCCTAGGGAAGGATGAAGAAGAAGATGCTCCACAAGGAGAAGTTATAAAGAGTGTTCCTATGCTTCTCCATGGAAGAAACTGTAAAATGAGGGCATGGTATCACAGGAAATGCCTCACAGGGCTCATTTAGGATTTGTATGACACTCTTGACTGCCTGGGACTGGACAGGACAACTATTTGCTGCTGACTTTGCCAGAGTCTCAGGCTTCTTCTCCCTTTATTACTTTTGTTTTTGAGACAGAGTTTCTCTGTGTAGGCCTGGCTGTGCTGGAACTCACTCTGTAGGCCAGGCTGGCCTTGAACTCACAGAGATCCACCTGCCTCTGTCTCTTGAGTGCTGGGATTAAAGGTATGTGCCACCAGGCCTGGCTGAGTCTCCTGCTTCTTACAAAAAGTCATTGCCAAATGCTATGGGGACATTTCCTGGGATGGGGCAGGTCTCGGGGCTGGTTACATTTGCAGTCAACTGAAGCCATCACAAAGGCCACTTTCTTCAGGAAATTCCACCACCCTGCCTCAGCCTCAGAGCCTCACTTTTAGATACAGAAGTCCCGTTCCTTTATTGACATTATCTTTCATGAGCCCTTTCCCAACCCCTTCAGACCGTAGAGTATGCCCCTGCCCTGCATGGCAGCCGGACAGTGAGGAGTGTCCTCAGCATCTCATGGTCTGGCTCTTTTGAGACCGCTGTCTGTACAAGCTGAGCCACAAAGGCTTGGGGGAAAGACAACCATTGCCAACAATGCTCAACACCGAGAAGGGTGACTCGGGACAATTGTGCTTTTTGGTATCATTTATTTTTTTTTTTTTTAAACCCACTTGTAGTTTGGGTTCAGCTGGGAAGCGGGACACACAGGTGGAGGGGAGGGGATGGCGCGAGCAGGATTGGCCCATAGCTTTGGCGGGAAGCTCCAGAGCCTGCTCCAGGGAGGTAGCTCCTGTTGTCAGGCCCCCGGCTGGTTCAGGCGAGGCGCCAGATCTAATGGTGCAAAGTGTCCTGAGCAGGGGAGAGTCCTATGCCCTCCCACCCACCTCTTCAAAGACCCAACCAGGTTTCCCAACACAGTGCCGGGCAGCTGAGGGACATCACGCCATGTGCAGGCCTGAGTGTCTGGGGCAAGGGACACTGGCTGGCTTCGGAGGCCAGATTAGCAGCCTAGGATGTGGCTATCCAGAGGCTGCCATCTGGAGTGGCCCCAAAGGAGCGGCTTTTCCTGGTTCCTGGGCTGTATGGGCTCTCTCTGTCCCTGCAGCCGCCCTGGGTGCAGCCAGGGGCATACTTCCCACCCCCCACCCTTCAGACAAAATAAAATAAAATACAATAAAAATTAGAATAAATACCAACTGGGTCAACATTTACATTTACACAGATGAACAAGATGATCCCCAAACGTGGAAGGTTTACAGACTGGATAAGGAAGGATGTATGAATGAAAATGGTTTGGGGGACACATGTTCCCCATGGTTGATGGTGAGGCTCCTGGCCATGTTCGGGGGAGGTTGGGAGCCCTGCAGGAGCTATGTGGTCCCAGAGCTTAGGCAATATGGCCAGTTCATGAGGAGGACAGTGACAAGCAGGACACTGGAGAGGAAAACAATGACCAGCTCATCCTGATAGGCAGGGGAGCCTGAAAGGGCTCAATATCAGATCATCGTGGCCAGATAGGACATGACAAGCCTGAGTGAGGCCAGCCAGACATCTAGCTTTGCCTCCTGTTCGTTCATTCAGAGGTGGGCTTCGATAAGCTGTCCTTCTGGCGGCAGAGGGGCTCTGGCCTGGGGAGAGGTCAGGGGTCTGTGGGTATCAGCGTCTCCCCCACTTCCTGCCTGAGTGGTCTCCCACAGGAAGCTACTCAGACTTGGAGATTTTAGGCTTTACTGTTTGTTGTTCCTTTATAAATTAATAAGAAGGGAAAAAAGTTTTCTTTCCATGACTGAAAAAGTAGCAGAGATTTAAAATGAACGAACAAACAGCTAGAATGTCCTATCAGGATGGATCAGGAAATGCTTTCAAGCAACCAGGCAAACGGTAAGTCTGGAGCCACCGGGACACAACATGTAATTAAAAATATATTTATATATGTATACATATTTATATCTTGCATCTTCATACTGGTCCTCAAGGCTCTAGAAGGGGCTGCTCTTGAGGCAAGGCCCGCAATAGGCCATTAAGAAGGAGCTGCATTAGGTCTGCGGTACCCACAGAGCCGCAGTCTCTGCCTCTACACAGCCTGCTCTGTGACCCCAATGAGGAGCCTGGCAGACCTCCCCACTCCTGTGACTTGAAACCCCACCTCCAGCCTCTTTCTTCATCATGGTCTTGCTTCATTCTTAGCAGATGCTTATGTCCATGTGTGTCTGTGTGCACACACGCTCAACCCCCCCCCACACTCATACACACCCATACCCCCCACTCTCCCACACACACACTCACACCCACCCACCACACACTCCCTCACACCCAGTCACACACACACACCCTGCCCCGCACCCTATAGACACCTGGGAAGCAGGCCCACGCTAGCACTCTCGTAGCTCTGAGAAACTGCAGGGAGCAGGTGTCCGAGGACCTAGGCTGCCCTACTCTACAAGAGCATGATTTCCCTGGCGTCTCCTCTGGGCATCCCATCTGCCCGCTCTTCCCTCAACACCACCTGTGGGGCTGCTAGTGTCTCTGGGCTCCAGGCTCAGCCTAAGGGCTGGAATGGGAGACAAGGCAGCCAAGAAGCAGAGAAAAGAAAGGCAGGGAGGAGGAGAGGGACAGGAAAGAGATCAACGCTGGGGTGGCCATTGACCTCTGTACCTTCTTCCCAGCAGGTCCTTCTGAGCCCCCGTCTTGGGATCAGAAGGTTTCCGTTGCAGACAGGCAGAAAGAACTGGGGAACCCTCCCTCCCCCTTCCCTTTCTGCTCTTCTAGACTTGAGACAATCAAGAGAAACCTGCCTCACTTTCGTGCTAGCCAGGCTGACTTGAACAAGAAACCTCAAGAGCAGTGGTTCCCAACTTCCTAACCCTGCGATCCTTTAACACAGTTCGTCGTGCTGGGGTGGCCCCGATCATAACATTATTCTTGTTGCTACTTCATAACTGTAAGTTTTCTACTGTTATGAATTGCAATGTAAATATCTGATGCGTGACTCCTGTGAAAGGGTCATTCAACCCTCAAAGGGGTTTCGACCCACAGGTTGAGAACCATTGCTCAAGAGCCTCCGGCATGGCGTAGCACATGACCAATCCCAGTAAAAGGAGCCAAATGAGAAGCCACTGGGCTTGGACACACGTTCTGGGGGATCGTCACAATGTGGGTTCCCACTTCCCAGAGCTGAGGCAGAGCAGTCACCAGTCACCACAGGGAGACCAGCCTCTTGGACTTAGCCACATCCTCTCTAGCCATTATAGAAGCAGTTGCTCCCAGGGACCAAAGCCTTTCAAGAAAACCTAGCTTTGTTTCTAGCCTGAAGAACTCCATCTGGCTGCAGGCCTGGTCACCTACCAAACTGCCCCAGTCATGACCCAAGGCTTTCCCCTCCCCCAACAGCCTGGGATGCTGTTCTAGGTCTTGTCTGGCATGAGAGCAAGGACAGAGTCCATGAATGAGGCTCCAAGACCCATGAAGCCCGCAATGGGCTCTTCCTCCAGCAGTTGCTTGGAATAAGACTTGCATTTGGTTTTAATTTGCCAGCTTCGTCTCTGGCCCTGTTTGCCATAACACAGGCCAGGGCGGGTCCTAAGGCAGTCCAGAGGGACAGTATCAGCCCTTTGGAAGCTAGCAGTGGACAAGAACAGAGGCACTGCAGGACAGGGGCCCAGGGACACAGGGTTCCAGTGGAGACCCCCATTGGGGCAGAAGTTTCCAATTACTAGTTGGCTACTGGCAAGCTGTTTGTGGCTAGATTGTTTCCACAGGGGGCAGGGTTTGATCCCCCCACTAGTCAGGGGGTCCTTGAGGGGGCGACAGGTCGATCACAATGAGGGAGTTTTTCACTGAGAGACCTCAAAGCATCGACTTTTGGAAAAAAAATAAAACAAAATAAAAGGGCGCAAGTTTCTCTGCCCAAGGGAGCAGCACACCCTGGGGCTGGAGGCTGGGGCGGGGAGGAACTAAAGTTAGGAGGGTGAAGCTTGAAGGTGAGAGAGAAGAGAGAGAGAGAGAGAGAGAGAGAGAGAGAGAGAGAGAGAGAGAGAGAGAGAGAGAGAGAGAGAGAAGCCTTGTCCCAGCTCCACTTGGGCTGACAAAGGCTGTCAATTATGGGCGGCTGGTGGGGACGGTGCCTGCCTTTGTCCTCCCAGACATCTGCTACACGTTGCCTGCTGCCAGTTGGCGACAGCGGCTGACAGCACGTGGGAACAAAGAGAGAGTCTCGACCCACTTTTCAGCCTTCAGCAGTGCTGGCTGACCCAAGCGGTGGCCAGAGGTGTGGGAGGCTGAGCGGCAGCTGGAGACAGTGAGGAGTGGCAGAGATTCCTCCTATAAAGCTCTACGGGGGATGGGCTGGAAGGCAGGGGGGTGGGGAGGACTAGAGAGCTGAGGCCATCGAGGGCAGGGGGCGGGCGGGTGACCATCAGGACAAAGAGACTGCTCAGGCTGGGGAGCTGCACGGGGAGCTCTTCTGAGGGATGCGACCCCCTCCTTGGCTGGTTCCAGGCTGGCCACTGTTGCTGCCTGCCTCCTTGCCCATTTCTTTTTCCCGCCAGGGCCACCCCTGTCCTTTCCCCTGTCCATCTGGCCCTGTGCACCAGGGCCCCAGCTGCCCACCGGCTGCCTGCCAGGCCCCTCTGGCTGTCAGGCTGTCAGTTTCTGGATGGTCCTGTTGTAGTACTGTGTGATGGGGGGCGTCAGAGGGTTCCAGCTGTTGGCATGGAGCTCGATGACCTCCAGCAGCAGGGACCGGGTTAGCATGGACTCTGAGGGGCATAGCATCTTATCTCGAGCGCTGGCTAGGAGCTCCGTCATCATCTCTGGAAGCTGCTCCTCCAGAAGCCGGCCTGTGCTTTGTAGCTGTGGGTGAAAAGTGTGGTCAGGATGGGACTTGGACCCCATTATATGCCCCCCCCCCCATCCTTGGCTAGGTAGGCTGAAGGCAAGGACCAAAAAGATCTGGATTGTCCTAGGGACATGCAGATCCAGGCAGGAATAGCCAATGGGGAGATGCTAAATTTAACAACCATCTGCCAGCAGGAATGTCGGGAGCCAGGATATTGCCTGCTGCCCAGGCCTGACATCAACTCACGAGGAACTCACCTCTTGTGTCTTTACCCCAGATCCTCCCCTCCTACAGGAAGCCTTCCCTGACTGCACTTAGCCCCTCGCTTGACCCCGTGGTCTGCTCCCTCGGGTGATTAGGTACCTCGTGGTCATTTCCATTCGCCAGGAATTTCTCTAGAAAGATTAGTGATCCTTACCTATGTGTGTCTGTGTGGGACGGGAGGGGACATGTGGTCTCCTTTCTAACTCCAAACCTATCTCTAGCTACAAAACTGGCCTCTGCCCACATTTGTGATAATAGGTAGGAGAGAGATATGAACTGAAGTATATGGCCAGTCAGGAGATCTTGAGAGAGGGAGGAGAGAGGCCTGGCCAGGAGAAGCGCTCATCTTTGACTTCTGGCAGGTCCCTGACCTTGTCCTACCTGCTTTTCTAGGCCCCATTTCCCACAAAGCCTTTCCTGACCTCTGTGACCCATCCTGACTCCCTCCCTTGATTTCCATGGACATATACTCTATCAGCACACTCTTCCCATACATTCCCCAGCCTTGAAGCCATCTAAAGGAATGGACCTTGTCCTATCTTTCTGTCCAATCTCCCCAAGCACCATGCAAGTGCCCAGCTGGAACCCAACACATAAACTTCATGACCATCCCATCCAACCAAGGCTCTTGGCACAAAGCTCCTGGGAATGGCCTGTGCAACCCGGACAGACTTCCTGAACATATAATATGCTCACTGGCATGCACAGACTGGGTCCTCATGCTAGAAGGTTCCTTTCTATGTGTGCCTCTCAGAGTGACTCTGGGCTATTTGTAGAAGGCAAGGATCTGCCCCAGCACCCAGCCAGCCTTGGAAGGAAGATTCCAGAAGTTTCAGTGGTCAGTGGCTGCATCTTGAGATCAGGAGTCTTCCAAGAGACTAAGCCACTGCAGGAGATTCAATCAAGCATTTGGCACCTTCTCCTAATTACATGCCATGGAAGTGAAGGGAGATCTTTGGGGGCAGCAGGTCACCAGCAACCTCTTGAAGTCATTAGTGTGGCATGCCTGATCCAAACAGCAGGAGGTCTTGGGACAGGGAAGTGGACAGTGCCAGCCTGTGTTGATTCCTCTAGGGAACAATCCGTGCCTAGCTCTACAGACATCCTGGACCAGTGGGCTGCTCTACTGGTAAACAAGTGATTCTGATTTCCCCGACTGTGAGGCCCGAAGGTGCATGAAACTGAGGTTAGACCATCTGAGCCCGCCCACAGCTCACCTCCATGGAGCAGCAGAGGACAGCGTCTTCCTTCACGTCTTGAGACTGCAGGAGCTACAGAGAAGAGGGCAGAGAAGAGTCAGGCCGAGCGCCATGGCTAGCCGCCAGGCAGGCCCCTGTCCTGCTCATATCTGACCCAGCTTTGACACTGCTCATGCCCAAGCTCTCCACTGGGTCAGGAGCCAGGGCCTGGCTATGGGAGGGAGTTCGGCCATCAAACTCTCTTCACTATTGGTACCACACTGCAGGCTCAAAGCCACCAGCTGTGACTCATCACCAAGGAGTGCTTTTTAACCAAGGCCATGGCTAGGCTTCCTTGACCACACCCCACCACGTTCTCCTCTACCTATCCAACCTGTCCACTCAGCGCCTCTCTTCAGAAACCGAGACACAACTCAGCTAACATAAAATTTACCATTAAAAAAAAAAAATTTTTTTTTTATTTTTATTTTGAGAAAGAAGCTCACGTAGCCCAAGCTGGCCTTGAACTTACTACATAACTGAGTTGACATACATTTCCTGATACCCCTGGCTCTACGGCCTAAGTTTTGGGATCAGAGGTGTACACCACCACGTCTTGACTTTTTTCCCTTTGAGACAGGGTTTCATACTATATTCGCAGGGTGGTCTCAAACCGGTCATGCTCCTGCCTCAGCCTCCCCAGTGCGGACGCTACATGTGACTCACATTCGGCATTTTCAGTCTATAACTGCATGCCTCACACATATCTCAGTTCCAGGTCTGCTCTCTGTATTCTTGTCCCTGGAGACTCCAGGCTGCCCCATAACCACAGACCTCACTGTCTTACCCTACTCAGGCCCCGCCCACACATGACAGCCCGGTGTGTAACTGATCGCCTCTATCTACTCCCACTGACATCGGCATCTTCTTCCTCCATCAGAAATGAAGCTCAATAAGCTCGGGGCCTTTAATGTGTCCACCATTGTCCCCAGCCCCTGACACAGGTGCTAAGTAAACAGAAAATATTTGCCAATAAGAGTCTGTGGAGCCGGGCGGTGGTGGCACATGACTTTAATCCCAGCACTCGGGGAGGCAGAGGCAGGCGGATCTCTGTGAGTTTGAGGCCAGCCTGGTCTACAGAGCGAGTCCCAGGACTCCAGGACTGGCTCTATAGCTAATGAGAAACCCTGTCTGGAAAAACCAAAGACAACCAAGAGTCTTTGGGAGGCAGGAAGAGAGCCATTCCAGCTGGCAGTACCAGTGGGAGGCAAACAAGGGCCTCTGCCTTCAGGACAGAGCGACGCCAGCCTTGGGACGCTAACGGTGAGGGGCGGTCATGGCACATCTCACACACCTCCCTCGTCAGGAAGGACATGGTGGAAAGCTACAACCGGCTATGGTGATGCACACCTGTGATAGTAGCACTCGCTGTGGCAAAGGAGTGCGGAGTCTAAGGCCAGTTTGGGCTACACAGTGAGAGTCTACCTCGAAACAAACGAAAGCTGGAAATCAAATTGCTGTAGAAATTACAGCCAGGTGGTGGCGGCTCACACCTTTAACCCCAGCACTCAGGAGACAGGGGCAGGTGGATCTCTTTGAGTTCAAGGCCAACCTGATCTATAGAGAGAGAGTTCCGGGACAGCTGAGGAACCCTGTCTCAAACAAAACAAAATAAAAAGAAATTACTATAAGTAAGTAAAATGCTGCAGGAATTTCAAGGAAGGCAGGAAATGAGGTTTCTAGGGGAGAAACCTGGGGAGTCTGAATGTTTGTGGGGCTGTTGGCCACTGTGAAGGGAGGAGGAGGAGAAACTGGGGTCTAGAGGCAAGGCGGGCTCGCGATGCCTCACGTGAAGGCTATTGTGGCAGCGATAGGCGTCTCACAGGACATACAGGTGTGTGCCTGGGTCATGTCTGGTCCTGATAACAGCTTCTTTGGGCCTGCAGTATCTCCCCACAAGAGTATGGCAGGTTTGGTGACAAGTGAGGTAATGTTACAGGAAATGCCTCGAAGAGCCAGGGCCTGAGAAGCAACGGCAACTTGAAACATGCTGTCTCTAACCCTGGAAAGTGGCCTTCCCCACCTCTGGTTCTGCTGCAGGGTGCGCCTCACGAAGCTTCAAGGCCTGTCTGCAGAGTGCTTTGACCCCTGAGCCAACAGCTCCTTCTCGTTTCTTCTACCGCCCAGGGCCTGCTCGCCTGCCTTTGGCCTTCTGTGACAGGGTGAGGCTCTGCTGTCTGTCCCTATTCCTTCCTTTATTCCTCTATTCTATGTGACCTGCATTATGTTCTGGGCTCCCTACAGACCACAGTATCACTTCTATCCTGGCAGGGCCTGTGTCCCTCCCAAGTAGACTGTGGGAGGGTGCTTTCTTCCAACCTTATCTCTTACTCGGCTATTGGGAAAGTCTGTGCTAAGCCAGAAACCACATTGTCTGATAGGCTCTGTTGCACAGGCCTGCTGGGCTTTCCCAAGGAAGTTACCGAGGGCTGTGTCTCTCTTCCTCTTGTCCTCACTGTGGCCACACAGTACAGAGTACATGAGGGAGAGGCGTGGCAGATGGCTCGGTTGGTAAGCCCTTGCCTTGCAAGCCTGAGGACCTGAGTTGGATCCCCAGAACCTATGTAAAAAGGCCAAGTTTGATTGGGCACACTTGTCACCTCAGCCCTGGGGAGGCAGAGACAGAAGCTGGGGTTCAATGGCCTACTTGTGTAGCTTAATTAGTGAGCTTCAAGTTCACTTAAAGAACTTGCTTCAGGAAATAAGGAAGAAGACACCTGACATCGACCTCTGACCTGCTCACCCCTGAGATGTAGACAGGCTTCTTGATGCTGCTACCTGCTAAACATGGATGCCTAGATCCTTTAGTGATGACTGCAGAAAGAGCTCCTTCGACCCCCAACCCCCTTTGGCCTCTGAGGGTGGCTTGCTGGACTTTAGATAGTCGGGAAGTTCCCACTTGCTGCTTTTTGTGGTAACAACAGGCTCGCCCACCTCATTCGGTGACGGCTGCTTGCTTCACTGGAAACCCTTTGCGTATACCGATGCCGATCCATCTGTGGCTCCCTAGCATCCAGTCCTGGACATTCCTTCCCTTAGTGGGGATTACAGACACCCTTCCAAGTACAGGCACCCTTCCACCTTGGCCCACATCTCCTGTTCCGTGTCCCATTTCTCCAAGTCTAGGTCCCCAGAGGGGCAGCTAGGTTTTGGATAAGAGAATCCTGTTTGTATGTTGAGGAGAAGAATACTTCTCTTATTTATACGTATTCTACTTGGGAGTTTTCAGGAGAGAGTTGCTTGAACTCAAAGATTAGTCTCAAAAAGGAGTGGCCACCTGAATAGACAAAATACTTATAAAAGCAGAGAAATCCAAGTGTCCATCACTGGGGAAGAGGGTAAACAAACGATCTGTGTCTACAAAGGCTCTAAAGGAAGTTGTGCCACGTGCCATCACTTCAGTGAACCTTCAAGACACTGCGAGACGAAAGTAGCCTGGCAGAAGGGCAAGTACAGCACGGGGTCCTGAGAACAATCTAACTCATAGAGGCAGAAAGCAGGTAGCTAGCTAACAGGGACTGGGATGCGGGACAGGGACTTAACTACTCAACACAGACCGGTTTTCAATGGGGGAAATACAAAGGCTGTAGCTTGTAGGGATGATTACAGAACGATATGACTGGGCTTAATACTGTAAAAGTATACTTAAAATGTTAATATCATGTATATTTTTTCACAACAAAGAAATGGTTAAAAAAGACAGTGACCAGAGCAGGGCTCGCCGGGAGAATGGACTGTCCTGAGCCACCACGTTTAGAAAGAAGGGCTGCACCAGCGGAGGTGGTCCAGTCTCTGGGTGAAGGTCTGGGTGGGGAAGAGGCTACCCTTCATCCAAGTCTCTGGCATGGAGAGGGATGTAGGCGGGCTGGGGCAGGCAAGCCGCCCGCACCCTTGCACCGTGAAATGTGTTTCTTGGACGAGAATCCAAGGCAATTGTGCGAGCCCACACAGTGTTTGTTAGGAAGCGAATGCATTCCTGTGCTATTGTCTCTGCCGGAGCCTTGTTGTGGGCACACCCATCACATCCTCCCTCAGGGAGAAGAAGCTGAGGTGCTCAGCCAGGCTGTGGGAAGCCTGACAGCAACTAGAGAAAGAGCATCCCTGAGTCCCCAGGGAAGGGCCATGGGGCATGGGCATGCTGCCCAAGGCATGCCCAGGATGGAACCAGGCTAGCTGTTGGGATGCCGGCAGGGAGAGGAAGAAAGTTCTGACCGAAGGGGTTGTGAGGCTGCCCCGATGGGGCTGACAGGGGTGAGCAAGGAGACCACAGCTTTCTGTCTGGCTAGTTAGGGTGTCAACCTGAGGCCTGCTGGCCAGCCCTTCCTGACCACCCAGAGCTCCTCAGGCACATCCTGCAATCTTGGAGAACAGACCCTGCTGCCTCCTACAGCCAGCGTTGGCCCTGACCCTGCTGTCAGTAGCACTGGTTCTGGGTGGGCTGGGGGAAGCAAGGGAGGTACAGGATGAAGAAGTTTATAGAGTACAGTGGCTGCCTTGCTAGGGACCGGAGCCCATCAGAATGCCCTGATTGGCTGTGTATATGGAAGGGCCAAGGCTTGTAAGGACGAAATCAAAGCGTGGAAGAAGTTGAAGGCCAGAAAGATTAAAAAAGAGATCAAAGGCTAAGAGGGGTGGGGTGGGGTGGGGGACGCCCACCTCCCGACAGTGGAAAGAGAGAGAGAGACAGAGAGAGACAGAGAGAGGACAAGAAGACACAGCCCCAGCACATGGGAGGTTAGAGGGGGCTCTTCACACAGCCACCTGCACTGTAGGGGGTGCCTTTCAGTCCGCAGAGCCTGTCCATCCTATGCCTCTGCTGGCTCTGAACCTGCATCACAGCCAAGTCCAAAAGACAACACAGGAACCGATACTCATGGTAATGACCTTGAGTCATCAAGAAGAGGGTCAATTACATCTGGCTCTCTCTGTTCAGGGAGACAGATAATCCATCCGAGAAAAGCTATCATCAAAAATGTGCAGCAGCCTGGGAGTCAAGATCTGCCACAAGCCAAGAGTCACCCGGGGCATGCCAC